TCTTTTGAGGATCCGTAATGGCAATTACTAAGTCTATAGTAAGTTTATACATCACGTTCTTATTTAGTAGCAATTTTCAGCATAAAATATTAAAAAAAGACATAAATATGAAATTTTTCTTGCGTATATAAGGACTTTGTCAAGATGGAGCTTCGTAACGAAATTAACTGTAAAGGTGGTCTGATTCAATCCATACGATTTGGCAACTCTGGTGATTAGTAGGAGAGTGGACATATATACTAAGAGTGGAAATATATACGAGGGCGTAAAAAGGGGCTATAAAAATACCCTATTCAAGCAAACTATCCATATTTTGAAATGCATCACGGACACCCAGCGCCTAATTCTGTTTTTCCTTATTGCACCTATAATCTAATACCTAAAAAAGGAACTCCTTAATAAACGCGAACCGTAACCGATAAGAAAAATCTTACACGTGAACGATCTTCACTAGTTTTGCTCATCTGTACTATTTCAAAAGCCAATCGGAAATATTTTCTACTTCAAATAAGTAAATTATGGCTGTGCGACCTCATTTATAACTGAGGCTTTTATGGCCTCATTTATAACTGAATAATGCCCATTTTAAATTCCGATTTGTGAAGATGAGTCAAGTGCGATCCTCGATTTTTTATAAGTTTTCCTTTAACTTGATTTCCAGATAAGGAAACTTCCGTTCAATATTTTCGTTAATTTCTCTATTCTTGGGAGTTTCAAAAACAACTTAACAGACGAACAGAGGGACATTAATATATCAAGGCTTACGCGAATGCAGCTAAGTAAGCACATAAACGGAATTATTTATCCCAGAACAAGGGACGGTATAGTAACCTTGCTACGGCGAAACAATATTGAGTCGTGGATAATCACGCCTCGTACCCCGATATTCATACAAATAGATTTAGATTAATCTCATTAAAAAGCTGCTGTCTGCTGTTTTGCTGCTGGGGTCGAGAGTGGTTGCGCAGGGAGTGGGGGATAAAGATGAAAGGCGAAGGAAGTAGGCCATGCTTTCCTGGTATGTAAGCAAATGGCTTCAAGTAATCATTTTTCTTGCATACGTGTAAGTCTGTTGTATTTTTTCACGAACGAAACGACCAAATTGAACTAACTCTTCAGCCATGAATGGATATAAAAATAAATTATAAACGAAAATTCTTTGCATTCAAGAGAAATGGATTTCATTTAATAAATTTAATTATAAGAATTATTACAAATATAAAGATATTTATATTCTAACATAAAATCGATATATACGAGTGCTTCGCTTTTTGCAGCATGTTTTTGGATTTTTTCTCTTCGAAAATGCACAACGTTTATTCATTATCTTGGGTTGGGCAAAGAAAAATTTCGATGTTCTTTCTTCAGTTACGGAACCATCCAAAAAGAGATGCCATCTTGAGCTTTACGCAATTATAACGCTGTCAATATGGTGATAACATCTGGTAAATAGAACTTAGAAGGTCTTCAGGTACATCAATAAGGTTGCAATTTTTTCAACAAAATTGTTGCAAAGATCTCGTTTTCATTTTCATTTAACTGAGTAAGTAGGTAATCAAAACTATAGCGTCGTGTAACGAGTGGTAGTCTCGGACGGTTTTTTGGCCTGCTCGGCTTGAAAATGATGTGAATGACGTTTATTCTCAACAGAGCTGCGACACTTTCTACATATTTGGGGAAACGAGCCATCTCTCGCTTCTATTGATTGACCTGAACTGATGGAATAGAAGGAATTAATAGAAGAGAGGCTTGAAAAATTTTCCAAAATTATTTTCTAGCCTACCTATTAGTTTCAGTACTAACCTACAGTATGATGTTGATGCACAGTAATGAATTCAAGTGTGCAGCAATATTTTATGCAAAAATCGGGCCCATGATCACCGCAATAACTAAAACTCATTTTGAAGGAAAGCTCACATCAACTGTAATATAAATGAATGCTTACCTTAGACTACTTTCCTTTATGCCATGCGGGTAACGAACTGTGTTCTGTTTTATAATAGCTACATTCCTACTGCAGTCATAACGAAACACAATCATATATCAATTCAATTTTTTTAATATCATAGCAGAAAAAGAAATTGCTCGGGGTGAATTCTCTCACCCTGTTTCATATCGGTGAAGTGTTGCGTTCGTTTATAGTGCATTATTTAATTTTATTATTGAAAATGTCCGAAGTGCAGCTATTGCTTGGTTATATTTAGAAGAGTCTATTGTCAATATCCTAAAGTTGAGCGGACGTCATCGAATGCCAATTTCTAGCATTTCTAGCCTTCTTTTTAAGCAATATTTACACAATGAATTTTTTAACAAACTGAAAATCTTCAAATCTTCACTTTAAGCTTGATCTATGCTTGACTATTTGACAACCATGAAAGATTGACTGTTCCACTTCTTCAACTTATAGTGTCTGGGGTATTAATAGAAGAGTATGGAAGAGTATGCTCTATGAGTAGAGTGATGGATGGATATGCTCATGAATGTGCTTCTAATATTCGTTCAGAAGCGAATACTCAGCTAAATTATTTTAGTTTGTTAACAATATCTGAGCAAAATCTCTAGTTTAGTAAACACAAGAATACTTCACACAAAACCATTATGCATAGTGGAAAACTGTGACGGTATGAGATTTACTGAATTATATTTAAAAGTACTCCGAAGCTTTTTCTTTTTAATAAAGCATAACAAACGACTCTTTTAATATGAAAAACAAAGAAAAAACATTCGTTTTTGTTTGTCTGCACTCAATTTTGTGTAACCTTCATGTATTTTTGTTCGCAAGGTAGCTCTCAGCATTTCATATTTTGTCCAAAGCGATGAGAGTATACTCGATTTGAGATATCGTTGGGCTTGCATATGCTAGATTTGAGGTATCATTTGGAATTTTAATCACATATATCCGTACTTAGATTTAATTAAATCGAACCGCTTTGCTCTTTCATAAGTCTATCGATTTTCTCACGGTCGTCGAAGACAACTAAAGTTCTTATCTATCAATTGTTAAAAGAAAAAAGGTATAAAAAGTTTATCTTCGGTCTGGCGACACGTAGTTCTCAACGTTGACAAACAATAATCACGCAACCGTATCAGCTTTCCAGTAACTTCGAAATAATATTAAATGACGTTGCAATCGTTTTAAACCGAGTTTGCGAGCAAAACAATCTGCGGGTTTTTTCGCTAAGGGCCGCTCTTCAAGTGAAACCTAAGCTGCCGACTATGTATGCGCAACAACACGCTTCGTTACAATTTCCTATTTTTGCTTTAAAATTTTGCAATGAGTTTGTGAGAACAATTTTCAACTCCTGAGAAGTGAGTATACGTGGAAACCGGAAGATCGTCAGGTGCAGTATATTCTTTTTAGGCCTCGCGACTCCTTCGAACGTTACCAGACATTTCTTACCAGATATTCAATTGTTCGCTTATGGAAGTGAAGACCATAAAGACATTGAATTGATGCTGGCGCACATGACTTTCGCTAAAAATATCTTAATACCTCGTGGATATCATTGCGTCATATAATAGCCAACATTCACAGCCAAATATCTGAAACGTGGAAAGACTCGTAAAAATGTGTAAAGTAAAAATCTATAATTGCTAGCGATTACTGCTCTGTCTTATTTAGTTGACTTAGGGAACTTGCGATGGTATTTAATTTAAGAACCACTTAACCTCTAATCCTTACAAATGCAATCAAGTCATAATCCAGACAAAAAAAATATATATACTGGTTCCCTTTTAATTGTAACGGGACCTATGGAAAAAGTGAATTCGGATTTTATCTGACAGAAGTTAGAAAAAAAATTTTGAAATGAGTTCATGAGACTCGATGAGGCATAGGGACTCGTAGTTGCAATATTTGACAAATCTGACAGAACCGCTTTGCCGAATGCAGGAATTTAACGAAACTAGTTTAAAACGATTCGCATTCCCACTGATTCTAGGGATGCGTAGAAACCAGCCGAAGTCCGCTCAAATTTAAGATCATAATTGGTATTTTAAAAGAGCAAATAGACGAATGGACGAACATTTCCAGGGCAATTCAGAAATTTATATCTTTTTAAGATATTTGCATCTCCGTGGCATCACAAGTCACAGTTACAGGCGTATGTGAATATATTTCTCTGGGAGTAGAAATTAATCGTATTCCCTTAAACAAATGTGTTCTTAGAGAATACCAATCTTGACAAATTATCAATTTTCGCCATTCCAATCCAGGCAAATGTAATGAAAAGACTTATATATTATCGAAGACTTATATATTACAAAGATGATGACCACAATTTGATCTGTTTTGAAATTTTATAAAATCTTGGAAAACCTAACATACAACTCAACAACAAATACTTTCTTAAGGTAATACGGAATGAATGGATATGCTAAAATAGAGAGGCATACATATATGGCGTAGAGATGTCATAGACAGGGCATAGAGCGAAAAGTTAAAAAATATATTAACTGGATGTTCGAGTTCTTTTAAACGATTGTAGCAGAATACCAAAGTTGATATATAGTAGATATTGACTATTCCGTTAAGTTAATGACCTTTATATAACTAGACTAGAGTTAGATTGCAGAGAGATAGAGGCTCCCTGGTATAGATGCGGCACGACTTGGGTCAGAAAGTCCCAAGTAATGTACATTCACATTGTATTCTTGGTTGTTGAGCTTTCCTTGCCCAACATAAAGCTTAACTTTAACTTAACACGAACTTATCGAGGTTACAACTTTTGAAACTTAATATTATCGCTTTTATCGCAACTACGAGAATGTAAAAGAAAACTGAAGCTTTTTAAGCTTTTATTTTTGCGTGACACGAAATTAAACAAACGGTCAACATTAGCACTTCTTTCTTTTTGTTTTTGTCAATGCAATCGATGCATTTTTTCAACTAGAATCAAGCAAAAGAAATACGACGACGCTCCTGTAGTTGTACACACACACCGCGACCTACACAAAAAAGCCATAATGCAATACACTATTTACAGCATGTTCTCACTCACTTTGACTCATACTCAACTCGTCGTATGCGCACTTACATATTGTGGCATCTTAACGTAAAGCAAAACAAAACAAAGCAAAGCACACCGAACTAACACGAATAGATAAACGATAGACAATGTAAGCCAGACTATCAGCGAGTTAACTACGAAATGCACGTATTTATGGTAAAAACGCTTTAATGTTCGCAGCCAAAGAGAGAGAGAGAAAGAGAGAAAGAGAGAGAGAGAGAGACATACGATATACATCGAGATTATTGTATATATTAATATTAAAAATAAAAATACAAAAAAGTGCTTTTCTTTGTTGTTTTGTTGTTTAAAAAACTTTGCAAAAAGTGGTTAGTGCGCAATTAAAATTAAACTAAACTCAATCACAACAAACATCGAAAAGTCAGAACCCAACGGTAGAAGGTTAAAAACAAATTTACCTAAAAAAAAATTTAAAAAAAAGAAGAAAACAAGCATAATATTGATTGAAAGAATATATTTAAAGGAAAAGAAACAAAAAACATTGCATAATATATATTTATATAAATTAACGGGAAAGTGCAATTACTTGGAAATAAGCGGAAATAACGGAAATTATAAACAGGATACGGAACATAAAACGAATAAAAGATAAGAAGTAGAGGAGAGCAAATTAAAAATTAAATATTAGGTCTTTGCCATCAACATACTATACGTTGACCTCATTGCTCCAAATTCATTTCTTTCTTTATTCCCTTGGCACTAATAATAAGCAATACATAAGCCACTGGCCTCTGGCGTAAACAGCAGCCACACACGAGAAGAATAGTAAATACGGGAAACAAAGAATATTGAAATAATCAAAAAAAGTAAAAATAACAGCTGTAGCAGACAAGAGAAGAAGAAACGAAAGTGAAATTATTATATATTTACCATGCATTACATTCATTAACAAGAAAAAAGACAACAACTGTCAAAATTTCAAAATCTGGTAATGAAAGCTTTTTCTTTTCCTTGCCTGTTTTTTTTTTTTTTTTTTTCTAAAAACAAAACAAAAAATTATACTGAACTGAACAGAAAAAAGTGAAAGAAAATTCAAAAAAAAAAAAAAAAAAAAAAAGAGAAAAAGCCATGTGTTTTTAAAATCAATATCGATTACACCTATTTTAAAAAGTCTTAATGAAAAACTGTTTAATAAAAAAAATATTTTATTATTACTATTATTACTATATTCTATATTATATATAAAGCTTATTAACACCAATCGTCTGGGATAATCGTGATGCCTTCTTTATTAGAAGCTTTAGAACGTAAATATTTTTCTGATTATGGATCCGAAGATGATGACGATGTCAAAGAAGTACGAACTCTGGGTGAAAAAGGATCAAGCAAACGTTTAATATCAATTTTTATACCGAGATTATCGCCATTGATGTGTGTGCCCGAATTGTTGGTATTAAACGATTGCGATATTGATCGCGCAGGCGATTTCGAAAGTATCCGAGAGAAATGTCAGCATGTACGTGAATTGGATTTGGCCCAAAATAAATTGCAAGATTGGCAAGAAGTATTTCAAATTGTAATGCATATGCCTCGCATTGAATTTCTTAACTTAAGCAAGAATCATTTAAGCGGAACGTTATCAAAGTCTTGTGTACCACCTATTTCGAATTTAAGGGGTATTGTCCTTAACGGTACTTATTTAAATTGGGAAAGCATTGAGACTTTATTAAAAAATTTACCGGTGCTCGAAGAACTCCATCTAAGTCTGAATAGCTACAAGGAAATACTAATAGACTCAACGAATCCTGATAGCATTTGCGAAAATTGTCATTGCAAGGCTTACAATTGTTGCCATAATGTCGAAATTGATAAAAGATCTTATGATAAATGTCGAAAAATACCACCTCATACAGCCTTAAAAACGCTTCATTTTACCGGAAATCCTGTAGAAAAATGGACAGAAATATGCCGTTTAGGTCGAATTTTTCCTGGCCTAGAGAAGCTCGTTTTAGCGAAATGTCCAATTAAAGCTATAGCTTTGGTCGACGACTGCAACGAGGGTGCCAGCTATAATCATCCCAACCAAATTGCCAACGAGGCATCTCATGAATTTTTCCCAAGTTTACAATTTCTTAACTTAAGCAGTTCAAGCATCGATATGTGGGATAATATTGATCGATTAGCTCGATTTCCTAAACTTATAAATTTGCGCGTCAAAAATTGGCCATTATGGGAAAATTTAGATTGCACCGAACATGAACGCCGTCAGTTGCTTATAGCTCGTCTACCCAACGTTACAATTCTTAACGGAGGCGGCGTTATTGGTGCCGATGAACGTGAAGCCGCCGAAAGAGCCTTTATTCGTTATTATATGGAAAAACCGGAAAGCGAAAGACCTTTACGTTATAATGAATTAACAGCTAAACATGGTAGATTAGATCCACTGGTTAATGTGAATTTTAAACCAGAAAAACGTGTCAAGATCTTCCTTACATATCATGATCAAACCGAGTCGCGTTTGGTTGACATCAATCGGACGGTGCAAGATTTGAAACTCAAATTGGAGAAACTTCTTCATCTGCCATCTAATAAAATGCGTTTGTTTTATCTCGATCAAGACTACAAAGATCTCGGCCCGGAAGAGATGCGTTTTCCCAATAAACTTCTTTACAGTTATAATATTCAAGCAGGCGATGAGATTATCGTAGACGAAAAGAAATAAAGTAACAAAAATGAAGCATATTTTTTCACCTCATTTTTTCTATTTTGTTATTATTATTTTTTTTGCCTTTTTTTTATTGTACACACGTATGTCGGTGTGTATGTACATATGTTTTTATACGCATTAATTAACAATTTGCTGTAATAAAACTTTATACATACATACAACAATACAGAAAACAATGTAAATAATAAAAATTATTTTATATTATTATTATTATTATTATAATAAATAATATTTTATGATTTCTTGGGGGAAAAAAAAAAAAAAACAAATTGCATAAGAGTAAGTTTGTTTGTTTAATTCGTTGGATATTCTTTACTTTTGATCTACTTTTTTTTTTTGCTTTTCCTTTTGTGATCATTTTTAATACAATACAAGACAAGATATGTAGGTTTTTATATCTGAATTTATATACGTAGATGATATATTATTTATACGCAAACATATATATGCTACATATACGATGTATTATGTGTGCATAAATTTCAATCATGATTGCGTCTCTTTTCTTGCTCTCTTGTCACGTTGCAAGAGAATGCGTAGTAAAAGGCAAAAGAAATGCTACGCCTGGCTTAAGGCGACTTTCTAATACCCTTGACCTGAAATCCCCTTAAATTATAAATAAATGCATGCAATAGACGCGCGAAACCTGATGATAATAGAAAGACTTCTACTTCAGAGGCGGAAATTTCTTGTGAAAATAGCAAATAAAACAATGTTATCGGGCTGCTAGGCGAACCCTAGCTTTTTCCGTCGAATGCTTGAAGGCAAGCAAGCAAGTAGATATGTTTAAGTAGCAATAACATGTTGATCACGACTTAATGTAGCGAAAAGCGAGAAGCTTTTTGTTAGAAAACTATGGTGTTATATGATATTATGACGATTCCAGGACATATTGGGGGGTTGAGGAGTGCCTGTGATTCGGTGAAATGATTTAATTGGTTACACTTGGCACATCGAAGATTGCAGTATTAAGTTAATAGGAAAATAATATCTATAAACAAAGAAGGGGATCGTAAATGTGTACGGAATGGTAAATGCAATCACCAACCAACCCATTTTTCTCCTTTTTTTAACTAGAAATTTTTAGAAGAAAAAAACTTAAAATCAAGTTTAACTCTTTAGAAGAAGTTTCAAATTCATAATCTAAAACAAATTGATGGATCGAAGGAAAAAACCGTACCGTACCATTCTAAATAAATTCGTACATCAAAGCACTTTCTTTCTATATCCCAACAAAGAATTTAAATTAATAAATGTCTACGACCATGCTCAGGAATCTGAAATGAGAAAAATTTTCAGAACGGATTTTTATAAATATCAATTTTTATAATAGCAATTTAAATCACTTCTCAACTTTGTCTGTTGTTATCAAAGTTGGTTACTGTAGGGAAACTTTTAAAATAATCCTTACAAAGGGACAAAAGAGGAGACATGACTGGCACTAATTAGTAAATATCATAACAATATAAGAACATAAGAAAGAGAGTATTTCGCCTGCAATGCTATAGTTAGATTCTTTTGTTAATTTAGCAACTTTGTCTGAAATCTGTGAGAAATGAAAATATACGATCAAATCGGATGATGTTTCTAACAGTGATCTGAATTTTAAGGGCAGGAAGATTGGCATGAGCTGGACCCTATTTATTTATTTTTCACATTTTTCGCGTTTATAGTAAGCATGTATACACTGTGTGAGACTCACGATGCGCGATGTACATATAATTGGATTAAACTGATTGTACCATACATTTTTTAAACAAGAAAAGAGAGAGCAGAGCGCACACTCTGCGTCGGGAATAACAAAAATGTTATTGCAATTGTAAATATAATGAAAATCGAGAGCTTATTTATTACTTAAACTTTCAATGGCTGTAATTGTAAAACTTTAAAACAATTGAGAACTTGTTTATTTTTGCATGTAAACATACCTAAGTGCTATGATGGGTGTCTAAAAACGAGCTAACGATTGAATTTTCTGGTATAATAAAATCTTTCCCCTACTAATTAAAAGTATTTATTACTTTATTATAAGGTACAAAGTAACATTGTACCTTATATACATTGCGGGAAATAAATGGTAAATAACCTCAGCAGTTTTAATTGCGGAGAGTGGGAATCACAAAAAAGAAAGATTCTTGCAAGGTGATCGTAGACTAACGTTCCTGTCTCTCTCCTGTGCTCCCTCCTTTCCCTATAAAGCGTCAAGATTAGCCCCCGGTGTGGTTGTGGACATAGACAACACTCCTGAGTAAGATTGACTGGCCAGATACCACAAATACAGGGAAATGCCAATAAGAAGAAATAAGAGAGTCGCCAACATCTCCGCCCGTCGGCTAAGCACAAATTTGCCAACTGAAAAATTTGCAGAAAATATCGTTGAATGCCTGACCACAACACAGCGACCACCTTTCATCGTAAGAGCTTTTGCGAAAACAAATGAAGAAAGTGTCAATCACGTTAAAAAGCGGACTGCAAGGTTAAGACTGACGGACAATAAATAATCGCGATGAAATGTAATTTTTGAACTTAAATGACTGCGACAGCATAGCATCTTAAGAGACATAATCTCTAAACTTGTTACACGAAAATAAAACTGCTTAAATGGTTACTCGTGATCGTAAACATCCATATTACTATATAAAAGAAATAAGTCTCGAAAATCTAGCGCCTAAAGCTAAGAAAGGCGGTAAGGAACGGAGCATAAAAGACTTTTTGCGGCAATGTGTGCGCTGCTATATTCTACTGTCCCTCCCCCATTCACCCTACGTGGTAAAGTTAAACCGTGCTTGTGTGATCTTCCTTGGGGTTGTTTTCTTTGCTTACGGAAGCGGATAAAGATTAGGATTTGCTTATATTTTTTTAAAAGTCGTTGTTTGTAATCATCTCCAATGTGTTCGTCGGACTATTACAAATGGAGGGCTTCGAATGCTTCCATGCTTAACGATTATTGAGGATGTGAAATCAAATCGGCAGACAAATGAGTAACGTACTTCATTCTTTCTTGAGTTAGTACTTTGAAATTTGAAAAAAAAATCCTTACATTGAGGTCAGGTAACAATTCGTAGTTCACTTTGACCCACCCTACGAGAAAAATTAGCGTACACATATATGTGACAAAATTTATTTGAAATGACCCTAAATTGAATGTTGCTAGAATTGATTCCATTACCTTTAAGATTAGCTGCAATGGAATGCATACGGGCGACAATCATAGGATTCAAATAATTATCTCCATAAATCTGTCTTTTCGTAACATTTCCGCTTAAGTGGCAAAGAAAAAATTTCTCTTTAATTTTCAATTAGTTTCGTACGGCAGAATGATGTCATTTATCCCTTTAATGGTTGCAATGCCTATAAAAACGCAACTCTGTTAGCGATCACTTTTGTTTTTTTTTTTTTTTTGCTTATTTATTTAAACCTCAATATTGATATATAACTGATTATTAAGGTAGTTACTGAATTAGTTTGTCGGTTGGAATGCGAAAATCAGTGAGTTTTGTCAGTCGCTCGCTTTTGCGGTCGCTGAAGTTATCCGCAGAAAGTTAAAAAAAAAACCTGTAGATTATGAATACGCGACATGTTTTAAAAGAAGAGACTGAACTGAAATTTTAAATGACTTTTTTCGAATTTCAAATTATCTGACTACGTTTGAATTATCGCAAATTAGATAATTAAGTTTGTGCGGTTACGCGGGTTTTGTGAACTTTTTCCCTCATCTAAAGTGATCTCAATCTAGGTTAATCGTTTATATATCTCATTTTCAACAGCTATGGATCCTCATAACGATCCATTTATTTTTTATGAACAAAAATTTAGGCAAGTGATTTATTTATTCGCATACACATACTAAAACCCAATAACTTTAAAGGTAAAGAATTATATATAGCAAGGGGCGTGTGTTTAGTCTTTTGCTTATGAAATTTAAAAATTTTCAAATGTTAAATATCATAAGAATGACAAAAACAAAAAACAGGTATCATTATGTTTGTCATTATATTTTATTATTATAAATTTCTAATTGACACTAAGTTTAATAGAAAGTCACGCAGCCGAAAATAAACAAAGAAAGTGTTAAGTGTAATAACTGCTGCTCATTGTAATCTTACATCAAATAGATTATGTAAAAGATACAGCATCCCTTCCTTACCCCACGTTGAAAACATATCGAATAAGTAAGTAAGTTAATCCGTAGGGATTGCATTGAGTTTAAATTTCGGCGGTGGCCTTTGTTATGTTTTGAATTTGCATACAACGCAAGATCTATTGTCTTTAAAGCGAATTACCGCTGAAGTAAAAATTCGAGATCGAAGGAAAACGGAAAATTCGGACATCATAAATCATAAATATCTTTCTATCCGTCCATCTGTTCGTGTCCACGTTGGTCCTTGAAGGAAGGAAAAAGGAACCTTCAGCCGTCCCATAAAATATCAAATTCTAAATCGACTTACGCACGTCTACCGGTCCATCTGTTCATCTCCGCGTTTGTCCTTCAAGGAAGGAAAAAGGAATTTCAGACACTCTACAAAGTATTAAATTCTGATTCGAACTACGCACGTTTGTCCTTCCTACTCGAATTCTTGTAAGCAAGGTGGTGGATATGGGTCCAAGCGGTCAAAGGAAATGCCTACGGAACAACACAAACATAAAAAACAATTCTGTTATTGATATATAGCAAAAATGTTACGCAAGCGATATATCATACCTACGATACAGGTCACAGGTCTTCTCTAGCTCGTCTCGTTACAACGTGTTTTTCGTACAGGAACATTCCAATATGTCAAATGGTTGATAAAACGGCAGCACTTATACGATGTGTTAAACTTTTTTTGTTAGCATTTATAGGTTGACCTCAATTCTACTTATCAAGGAATGAACATTGTTTTCTTTTTTTCTTTCTTACTTGTTTCTGAGGTTCTATATAAGGCGGTAGGTACGAATGCATTCAGTTTATACTACATCTGCGTTTCTTAGAACGCCGTCGCTATAAAACGCAACAGTCATTTTCACGCAATTGAGAGTAATTCGATTTCCATTAATTCTGCGTTTGCCTTAACGCGGTTTCCACCACGGACCTGAATTAATTCTGGTTTTCCTATAGCACGATTTCCACATAATGCTATATGCACTGATCGTGTTGTAGGAAACGTCACGGCACGATGAACAATCGATATCTCGGTTGGCTCCTCTGTCTACTGGGCTCTACTGGGATACGAGTTTACATTAGATGGTACTAGCGATTAATTTTTTGGGCAAAAGTTTTAGAGAATTAAAACAAGCGAAACAATGTTTGCAGCTTTAAAAACGTTTCTTAGTCGGCGTGCTGTGCGTCTTCTTGACGCCTTTCTCTTATGTTGCCTGCTTGCTAATAGGGCACAACTTTTGTTTCTTCTTTTACGTATTCATCAACATTCAGCACTGACCCATTGCCAAATTAATCAATGTTACACCTTTTGCTAATTTTAAAGAGTATATGGTGTAGATGCTGCTATTATCGATCCGTTCGAAAGAATTGCAAGTACATTTGCCTATTAACTGCTCAAGTTTTGAGTAAGCCGGCTGCTACTATTAAGCTCACCGGTCAATGTGGCCCTCGATTTTTTACCCAAGACATTCATTTACTCTGTTAAGCCTTTTGATGGAAATATTGTACCTAAATTGACATAAGTATACGAGTGATGTCTATATATTTTAATATTATAGGATATGTAAGCGTCATTATCGTCGTTCGTCAGATCGCTTTGTTGAGCCGCGAATGTCACTTTTGGGAAAGCCAATAAATTACAATCGCGGTTCGCGCCGTGATGCTCGGTACAGAAGGTTTCAGAGCAGAGTATACAATTTCTTGGAGAGACCACGAGGACCACAAGCAGTTTCATATCATATAATGGTGTAAGGATATGAAATATTTGTAAAAATTACAACTAATTTTTTGCAAATTGTTCCATAAAGATTTCTCATGGTCTTTACCTGCCTTGCTTTAAGTGTTTTCTCAACCATTGAGGAGTACGAAAAGGAAGCTTTGTATATATTATTTAGAATGGAACTATTAGTAGTAGTATGGTTCACAATGGAATTTTTCTTACGGTAAGTAATCTATATATCGCCTCTTTCAGCTCTCTCTCTCTCTCTTTCTCTTTCTTTCTTTCTCTCTCCTCTCCCCCCCCCCCCCCCCCCCTCTCTGATTCTCTTTCTCTCGCTCTCTCTCGCTCTCTCTCTCTCTCTCTATTTACCTTTCATATTAAAACGTAAACAACGAACACTTTTTCCAACAGGCTGTGGTCATCCGGTTGCCGTTCAAGGTATCAAGGATGTATAGGAAGATTAAAATTTTTAAAACGACCATTTTGTATTATAGGTAAGTTTGTGAACATAAGCAATGCAGAGCAAAACGCTGAGCAATAATGCTGTTTTACTCTTTTTCCAATCACTTTAGATATTATTACAATAGTTGCTTCCGTAGTTGTATTAGGGATGGGCACTTCAGGCCAAGTTTTTGCAACCAGTGCGCTCAGAGGATTGCGCTTCTTTCAAATTTTGCGTATGGTGCGAATGGATCGACGCGGTGGTACATGGAAACTTTTAGGCAGCGTTGTGTACGCACATAGACAAGTACGTTTATATTTATTGTGTTGCTTCTGATAACTTTTTTTCTTAACTACTTTGTTTAACAGGAATTAATAACTACTATGTATATTGGATTCCTTGGACTAATATTTGCTTCATTCCTCGTCTATTTAATGGAGAAGGATGTTAACGCAAAGTTTAACAATTTTGCACAAGCTTTATGGTGGGGTGTGGTAAGTTCTAATTGAATACTCAGTATGAAATTTGCCAAATAATCAAGAAAGCATTTTGAAAGCCTTTCCTCGTTTACTTTACCATAAAAAGGTTGTGTTATGTGCGCGGTCTGTGTTCATTATATTTTGCACCACTGATGGTACAGAGCGCATTAAGCTTGCAAAGACTTTTGCAACATTCAGAAGGTCTTACGAGAGACACTGCTTTTATTACACCGAAGTCTGCCCACGCATTTTATGTTTAACCAACAAGTCGCACTTTTGGAGATATTTTGACGAAATACCCTCGGAACGTACTCCATTGAAAATTAAGTCGATTGGACTATTTTTACGACCACTCTCCATACAGTGACTTATTTTGAAAGATTTGTCATAGGAAAGAAAATTTGCAATTTTTTTATATAAAAAATCATGGTGTAAGGTATCTCCCACTTTGATGTCTCCAGTTGTTTTCCAAATTTAATTAGTCGAACCAAAAAGTAACCAAAAAGTTCACATCTCAATATTAGAACTGAAGGATTTCAATAAAACAAGCACATCAGGACGAACAGATGGAGACGGAATCTCATGGTAGTCGAGTAAGAGGTTTTAAGAGATTGTAAATATCTTGAGCACTATAAATCAATTCCCAAAGTTGTTTAAAATAAGAAAGAGATGATAAACGGGTTGGGGAATAATTTTTTTAGTACAATCGATCTGAATAGCTATATAAAGATATACTTGCCACAATACGTAAGATTAGATTAGCAAATCTAAAACGCATGTCATACGCATGTACAGAAGAAGAACGAAAAACATATGCATGTGATGTTGCCGCATTGAAACAGCTTACCGAAAACCCTCTTAATCTTGGGGCTATTAACGCAAGCAATGATGCAAACAAATGATGCAATTGGAGTGCACATCAAACAGTCGAATAAAACTTCGTATTGCTGACAACCAAAGGCGATACATTCGTTGATCACCGAAGGACGTGAATAAGATGTGGACCCCCGGCTGAGAGTCCACCCAAACGGACTTGAGATAGAGCTACCTTTTTTTATACCCATATGCCAACATATCAAGCTGTGCATCCGCCTATTTTGTTGTTCAACCTAAAGGTCGTAATTTTTAAGATATTTTAGGGAAATTTTATACACCGACTTTTTCTGGCCCAAGGATGATTATAATTGAAAGTAGTTCGACCAATTTTCATATAAAGCCTTGCTTTAAAACGTCGTCGTATTAGCAGCTGTGTTAAACGAAGCGGTGTAGGGTAATTATTGATGGACAGTTTCCCACTATAGCGTCATTTCTTGTTAATAAATGCCAAAAACTTTTATGGATTCGCACCCGTTTATAATTCAGCGTGTGCTTCCTACCATAACTTTTGCGACGGTTGAAGACTACTTTTAAAAGGTTTTTTCCCTTTACATGGACGCATATAATTTAAATATTAGGAATTGTTTTGGGCGTGCGAAATTAATCTATTTATGGATAATAATATAGGGTTTTTAAATGGACGTCTAGCAGGTCTTGATTTTGGTTCTCCGGTTTGTCTCCGACCCAGCTAGGAACTTTATAATGATAACGTTACCGTTAATGTGCATTTGCATTTTCTTAATTTCCAACACAAATGTGATAAATTTACCATTAAAAAGTCACTTGTCTTTTTACTTCTTATAGATCACTCTTTGCACAGTAGGTTACGGCGATATGGTTCCTGAAACGTGGCAGGGAAAATTAATTGCTTCATTTTGTGCACTGCTTGGTATATCCTTTTTCGCTTTGCCCGCGGTAAGCATTAGATCTCATGTCATATGAAAAACAAAAAAGAAAGAAGAGGATTTCGCTTAACAAATTTAAGGGTATACTGGGAAGCGGATTTGCACTAAAAGTGCAACAGCAACAACGTCAAAAACACATGATAAGACGGCGTCAACCAGCTGCGACTCTTATTCAATCATTATGGCGTTGTTATGCGGCAGATGAGCACTCCATATCCATTGCTACTTGGAAGATACATCAAGTGGCTTTACCCAGTCCCCCAGCATCGTAAGTATTTACAAAATTTTAATAACAAGTTTTTCGCTTAACATTAACAATTCAAAAGAAAGAAGAAGCCTAACAATATATATATATGTATAAATATGTGTTTAGCTACACAAGTCTATTTAAACATAAAACGTTCAAGTTTACTAATCGCTTCCCTTGAACAATGCGCGTAGCGTTATTTTATGAATTTTTTTCTGTAAATTTAAGTTTTTTTTTTTTTTTGTTAAATTTGAATGATCGGTATAAATCATTATTATTTTCCCATTCACAGTATGTATGCGTATACATAAATATGTATATATGTATATATTTAAACATTTATACATATGTATATTTATATATATACATATTTATATATGTATACATATATACATCTATATATATATATATATATATATATATATATATATATATATATATATATATATATATATATATTTATATATGTATATATTTGTATATATATAAAAGAATTAATTATCCACCGATATTATCCACCCAAAATAATTTAATAATTTCTTTTGGTTTTTCAATTTTTTCAGTTCTGAATATTGGGATAGATTGTTTAAAAATTTAATTGAAAATAGGTAATCAATTGAGTTCATTAAAAACCACTTCATATATTTTCCTTCCACAAATAGTACAAAAACAAAATATAAAATATATTTTTCAAGTTTTCTATGATAACTTTACTTTTTTCTTGTGCTAGAGCTTCAAAATACATATATACAATATATACCGTACATAAGCATTTAATTCTCTAAGTCAATTACAAATTAACCTTTTTCTCTAGCTTATAAAACATTTTAATTTAATTCGTTTTTTTTTTTTTTTTAATCTAGAGGGTACCACAAATTGTCATACTTATGTCTGATATATTATACATCCGTCAAATGTAATGTAATAATTTATACGTTAATTATAAACTATTTATACCTTGAAAAGCACTTTTCTTTCTGAGTTTAATTTATAAAATAAATGCTTTAATCGATGATCACCATAATTCATATGTGTTGTGCCATACATAGCTAAACTTGGGGACCCTCTTTAAACACTATCATATTTATTATTTTAAAGCATTCTGCACAAAATGCCGCACTTTATTAACACCGGTTGCATTAATATACATTATTTCTATATATATACACCATCATGGATACTCAGTGTAGTGAAAAAATTTAAATGCGAATGGGGTGGAAAACAAGGAAGCTTTGAAATAAAATATTCACTGTCTCTCTTAAAGTCAATTTATGATAATCATAGAAGGTACGTTAACACTTAATGCAGATTTTATTATATGCGGAACATTAAGGCAATCTCTTCACAGTTATCCTACAGAAATTGATATTTTTAGTTCGAAAATAAAAATACAAAAAGACATAGACGAATTTGAGTTGATATTTTGAGTTCTAATGTATAGTTTGAATATTGATATTGATTGATATTCCGTGTCCGGAAATATGATATACATTTACAATTTTAATTTATTAAAATAATTCTTTTAATATGTTTGGAAATATTTTGTAATTATCTCTATTTGGCAAAATAAAAAAATAAACCCATTATAGTCGGCCGCGTCCAGCCATTAAATTGCCAGCACCATCTCGTGATAATATATCAAAATGAATACATTGTGTTCATGTAACAGGAGACTTCATGAAAGACCACATGTAGGTGGGTGCCCAAAAAGTCAACTAAGGTAGTCCAAATTTAGCTCAAAAAATTCGCCCCTCTGATCCAACTTTTCTGGTCAATTTAGAATGACGAAATAACATTAGTCAGCCATTTTTATTGAGGAATTTTGAGAATTGAAATTGCTCTTCGAAAGCGATCCAAAAAGAGATCCCATCCGCACTATTTTCAGTAGAGTTCGTCGCTGGACCAAAAAGCGTTGCTGCACCAGACAGAAGAATAGTGAAATGCATATTTTGTTGAAAACCGTGGGTGATCATAATACAACTTGTCCTATGCGCAGAACAAAGATCTCAAATCGTTCTCTTCACCCTCCAATCCTTACGTCCTTACGATCAAAATCAACTATTTTTTGTTTAATACCGCAAGTGACTCCAAATTATGTAAAAACTTTTTCTTTGCATTCCATCACTTTCTCTACTTAAAAGAAATCTGATCATTCTACCTAGCAAAGGCTTGGTATAGGTTGTCAATGGAAAGCTGTTTGAGAAGTTTGAAAAAAAATATTAAAAAAATTTTTCAGACGAAAGAAGTAAATAGTAACGAAAACTCTGAACTTCAACTGAGAAATCAACTGTAATCGATCATTGCCAAGACAGCTTGGAAAGCGAAGTGAACACCTTCTCTTTTAAATACGAACCGTTTGTAGCGATGTCGGGTTTCTATTTAACTCATTCAATTACATATAATTAGTCGCTTGTTGAATGAAACATTTTGTATATGATAACAAAGGAGAGATTTCCTTCATTGTGCAATACATGTAGGCTCGGGATTGTTATTCACTCACTTTATCAATCGATAATTTCTTATCCTTTGGGCGATCACTAGCGAAAAATTAGGCTTGTTAGCTTTCTTAAATTTAATTATTTTATTTTATTGCTATATAAAGTAACATTTTTTCTTTTAATAAGCCATAATGAAAAATAGAAGCATGTTACCTTTCCCATCCGCACATTCCACTGTACATATGCAGCATGGAACTCTGTTTTAAGTTTTAGCCATAGTCATTTTTTTCTTGAAAGCCATTACTGAAATCCTAAAAGAAGCTAAAATAAACAATCTGCCTTTTACTTAATCAAGTCTGCTTGGAAAGTGGATGAGAGTATTTCGCCCATAAAAGTTTTTACAATAACTAAGTGATACAAATAAAGTCCTAATAACATTCACGGCCACTCTCAGCAAGATTAACTTTCGCTAATAACAATTTAATGTTATTAAGATTAAAGCGAACATTTGACAAAGCGAAAACCTTATGTTAAAGATGGTTTTATTGGATCGCAATTTGAATCAACGTGATTAGTGGCGTAGACCACAGCAACAGCCTAAAAGAAAATATTTCAAAAATTGCGACCCAGTAAACCCACAGACAAGCTTAGGTCGATTCTGAAAATCATTCTGGGCGTAACGTACACCCACGCAAACTTCGTATACCCGGGACCACAAACATTACATATTTTACTAAAGAATATTGTTTTAAAGGTAACGTAAAAATTTTAATGAAAAAATCAAAATTGGTTCAGTTATACTTCTTGCCCTTGACACAAATCGTGCTTCGGAAAAAACGCATTTAACGATGTCAAGACCTCGTGTACTGTCATATAATTGTTTTCAAAAAATCAAAATATTTGACCAATTGAAATTATACCATACCCACAATTCTCTTGTTATATCATTTTTAACGATTCAAAGGATCATTTAAGCCAATAACGAAAAAAAATTGAAATTTTGAAATATTTACAATGGTCTACCCACTTAGGCTGGTCAATAATCCGGCAGACAACAACGCCATGAAGTGAATTGTGACATCTAATTGGACAATTAATTACATAAAATGATATTGAGAATGAATTACGATGACAAACTCCATTCAAGGAAGATCTTTTGTTTTCTTTATTGCAGCCTTTTTGAAATTGTTTTGAGAATCGAATGGGCATGTTTCCTTATTGCATATTTTAGAGGTCATCTTGAATTTATCATAAGTAAGGTGTTAACCCATTTTCGTAGAATAGAATTAGTTAAGGAAATCTTGTTCCAAGAATTTTGGAATAAGACGGAAATAGAACAAATTCTTCCCAATCAAATACAAGTTCCAATAATACAATTTTGATTACACTCTTTAAGCAGTTAAATAATTTACAAGTCGTTGTAGATCTCTATTACACATCGCATTACTAATTTACAGATATAATTAAGCAAAAATCACAAAACAAATAAACAAACAAACAGAGAAAACAAAGCAAAGCGCTAACAACAAATTTACACTGTCCTGCTAATCGATGAGGTCTAACATATATTAATTATCATTTAAAATGACATTCGCAGAAGAGCTTCGAGCAGTTTCAAGCATAATGCATCATTTGTTGCCCGCTTGCCAACTATAAGAAGACACAAAAGTCCATCTATTCAATCGCCAGGCGGTGATGTTATCGTTAAAACTTCGATGCCTTCTTCGACGCGAGCGTCTCGTTATGCACGTCCTGTACGCGATATGAATCAATCCGTAGAGAATCTCGGTGAGTACAAATGAAACAAGTGCAAGTATTTGAAAAAAAAAAAAAAACTTACTTCCGTGCATGTTGTTTTTTTATTCTCGCTTACTTTCTGATTTTTGTGTTACGCTTACTACTGAATACATTACTTTTTTTTTTTCTTCGTTTCTTTGAAAATGGTCTACACCCACGTTTGCGCAGAGCTTTGCTTACAAAGCCGCAAAGCTAAACAGTTTTGTTTTAATTAAATGTTCAACTAACAAACTACATGTACATATTTAAATTTTTATCCATAGCGATCCATGCATGCTGGGTGTAGAGAACGAAAGCATATTTGAGAAACTCTATACTAAACAAAAAACAAATAATAATAATACCTACGAAGAACAAAAAAAAAAACGATCGACATTTGATTGGTATAGGTTTTTGAAACTAATAATGATGAGATGACCCGCGCAGTCACAAATCAATCAGTTAACCAATCAGCCAATCAGTCAGCGAGTCTTAATCTTTGTGCAGACAGAAAAGTAATCAGATTCAGATTCAGATACAGATTCAGATACAGATACATATTCAGATTGAATTTCAGATTTAAATAACGGGAATGCATGTCTCAAACACTAGTTTAATTAAAACATGTTACACTATTATTTATTACTTATCTCCCAACGTTTGTTTTCAACATATTTACCAAAAATAAAAAAAAATAAAAAAATATATATATATATATATATATATTAACAGCTTAACTTAACAATCCTCACAGAGCAGCGCCTCTGAGGAAGGGGGACTTGTGGAATGTAAGTTTACCTGTTTTATGTTTTAATGCCTTTTATAAAGTTACATACATACTCGTACATACATAAGCGTTTCCTTTTATATAAATGTGTTTCTGTATTTTTTGTGGAATTCTTTTTAAATATTCCTCACACCGATCTCACAGAATTAACATAATCGTAAATAAAAAAAAAAAAAAAATACTACTATTTATATAACCACCGATTTTAAACGAACAAAAATTAATAATAAAAGCAAAAAAGCATAATTAAACCTAAACTCTGTAATGTTTATAAATATTTATAAATAATAACAACAAAAAGGAAATTAAATAACAGTTTGTTTTAAAAATACAATAAATATAACGTTTACTTTTATTGAGCATGTGGTTGCAATACAGTGTGTTTCGATTTGATTTTAAATTAATAAAATACGTATATATATATATACATATATACATATATATATACATAATATTTACATATACATGATATATACCTTATATATATATATATATATATATATATATACATATATATATTATTGAGTTTCCCATACCCTCCACCGAGGGAGGAGATAGGATATAATATAAATCATCATCAGACACGATAGTTTTCCCCAACTTTAATTAAAAGCAAGATTAAGTGATAAATTTATTTCAAAGGATTTCCCATTCATTTTAATATATCTTGGCTTAACACACACTGCACTAATCTATCTATCTGGAAGAAAACTTTTCGTCTCACAACTCTTTGTCGAAAAATGCTAATGGAAGCGTTGAAAGCGTAAACTCGGCGTTTCTAGACGGCTGCACGGGCTGAATGTCCACATATATGGAAAATACAAAATTTCATGTAACAGGATCGGGAAATTTGCCAAAAAATATAGCGGAAGAAAGTTCTTATTTTTCAAGAAGACTTTTTTCTATCAAGGAAATCAATGTTACGAGAAGATTAGCATGAGTTAATTATTATCGACTTTAGAAATACTAGCATGGCTGTCGTCTGTGACGATATATCCCTGTAGATGCTGAAAATCGAAGGGGAGAAATAGAATGCTTTGTGATCGGGAATGCATGGAAAATGCGTACACAAGTGTACCGATACGCTGCCTAAAGTGTTAAAGTACAACAACGGTCATCGGAAGACCAATCAATAGATTTTTTTCACCCTCTTAGGTGGTTTCCGTCCTGAGAACTGGAAATGATCCTTCATGTAGCTTTGTGATCGGTTTGTGTAGCTTAATATCACGGAGCAAGTAAATATTAAGATCTGAAATCAGTCTCACTTTGCCCGGGGAAGGAAGGAGTACCAAAGTAGTGGTAAGATGTGTAACTACTTTTTATTGAAACCGTTTGTCTTTGAGCGAAGTGGAAAGTTAAGCACACACTGCGGAGATCCATGGTAAACTCTACAGATATCTATCTTCTAATAGGAGTGATCACCTATGTTCTTGCCTTAGTTATTTCAAAAGTGCGATATGACGAAATGGAGCATTTCGCCTCGTTCCTAATTTAAGTTTACTTTGGCGCTTCATTGGTGCTTAGGTTCAATGATGAATCCGAATATACCAACAACACCGAATATCGAACAGAGTTGAAGGATTGTTCCATTTTGTTCACTTATTTTCTATTCTCGTTTTGGTCACGCGCTGCCTTGTAACGGGTGGCACTAATTTTTGTATTGGTACCATTGGTATCATTTACCTTAAAAATGTTGCAAAAGGAACTTTGGTGAAGTTCTACTAAAATTTTCTTGAATGTTTGTTGTAATAAGAGCGCTATTATGTGTATTAATTATTTCATCATTTTATTGCTGTTCGTTCTATTTGTAATGATCAGCGCAATTGCAATAATACTTTATCGCGATATTCTTCAATGATAGTTTCATTTCAACTTGTTTGGCCATAAGCTCTCCGATTACCGTAACGTGAATACACATTTGGATAGACGTTAGTTTTCACACTTGTTTTTTCCTTTCACACACTTAGAACCTGAAGGAACGCGCGGAATGATTCGAATAATTTAAAGAGTGATCGACCGACAACAATGCCAGAAATTTATTGGGTATTTATACAAATACTGAATGATTCTTTCCCCTGCGAATATAATCAATTATGTTTAGATTGACAACAATATATATGTATGTGTATAGATAATACATACACATTTTTTAATTGTATCCAATGTTAAGGACATCATCCGTATATATACAATATTAAGAATTAAGATTAATTCTATTTAGTACCACAAATTTAATTATAGCTGAGTAACATAACCTCTAATTTCATTTCAAAAACGAAGTGATCGCAGTGCACTGGTCAGCCATTGTCTGTAACTTAAGTATTGTAAATCTTGTAAATCTTGTTTGGCCGAACTTTGAAATATTAGAATATTATGTTAGATTAGAAGCGAATCTTGGACACCTGTCATCTAACCCGATTAATACTGAGCTTGTGACCTCGTGTGCCGATCGAAACAATTTTCATCTTGAATTATTGTGAAATGATGTTCTTTAAACATTTTATCACTTAAAAAACAAGAAAAATAACGCCTCTCGCAAATTAAATTTTCTTACAACGTAGCTCAACGTATCTAAAATAACCACATTATGTACACTTCGGAAGGACTATCTATACTCTAGACTCTCTCTCTATACTCTAAAACTATAACATCGTAACATAACGTTCAGTTCCCACAATACTATCCAGTGCTGCCCCCCTACGTGACCAAGATGGAGCATTTCGGTTCCTTTCTCATCCGAATTAATTCGAAATCTTTACTCAAATTTTCAAGCCCATTTATGTTTGTTTTCAGATCGATATTTTAATCGATGACGCCTCAAAGAGATTTCATTAAGAGAATTTCACTTCGATTTGGGCTTTGATTCACTTTCCCTCACTTTTACTCAACACATTGAACTATCTATTGGTGATTTACTGAATTGCAGAAGAAGAAGAATTTGACTTGTTTAAAAATCATCGATACATTTAGATTTATAACTTGTTTTAAGATACAAAGTCCTAATTATGGTTCGCCCGTAGAGCAGACAAATTGAGAACTGCCGGAAAGCCAAAGGACTTGATTGCCGTAAGCATATCATTATAATCGTATAATCGCTTAAGAACGGAAAGAATCCAAGCCTGCCATCGGCAACTCTTTTCTTCATTGAGCTAATTTTAATTTTTATATCACGGCAAAAGCCAAAACAATGTTAAGCTATTATTAGAGATGGGCCATTGTATATCGATTTTTCTTCTTTTTAAATCGCTCATTTTGTGGCCTGATAACGCAATAAAAAAAAAAATACTTAAACACCTTTCATATTTAGTAGTCGCACAGCAGAGCTAGTCGTGAAAGCCGATAAAAACCATTTGCAGCGTTGCTATGTGCGAACAAATTAAATTATTTGAAATTTTAAACGTAAGGGGCCAGCAGTTGCGCATGCCTGATCTAAAATTTATTTCACTCAAAGAACGATTAGAAGATGTGACAGCTGTGGTTTAAGTAGGTACGAGCTGAGCTGCTCACACCACTTATGCTAAAATCTTGCAAACAAACAACCTGTCTCCCTGTTAGTTAGTCATCGAATTTTGTATAGATCCGGTGATTATACAGCTCGGATGAAATAATAAAACGTTTCAACTTAAAAACTGATGCGAAATGTATTATAGTTTCAATAATGTCATAATTAGGCCAGATCTACAGGGTGAGCACTTCATGATTTCTATATACTTGTTTGACAAATTTTTTACTCAATTTTTCTGTAGATTGCAATTAAAAAGTCTTTACCAATAAGACAGATAGGTGGAGGGTATGAAAAGTTCGGCTTTGCCGAACATAACTGCAACGCTTGTTTATTGCTATCTATTATATATTCCACGTGACTGAGGGGACGATTTTTTACTAAACACATATATGAAAAATTTCGAATTTTTACCCACATTTTTCAATTCTATCTTGAATCTCGATTGTTCAAAATGCAAAAATTACAAATTTGTAAAATCGCCCTCTTATGATATTTTTTTTTAACATAACTATCAAGTTGTTTTACTTATATCGCATATATCGCGTGAACAGTGTTAGTATTCAATTGTTTTTTTTTTTTTTTCTTTGTGTTCCATGTTGTGGGAGCTATTAGGACAGAGTTTTGTTGCAAACGAAATAAAATTCCAAGTTTCCAATTGTTTTAAAAACATTTATGCATTTCAGAAGTGGTACAAAATGGAAGATCGTTAAATCCGAGTTTTAGCGAAGACTCTGTCGCAGATACCACTTTACTGAAAAAAAGTTCCGATGGTAAGTTTGCACGCCTACTTATAGTCTGTGGATGTTGTATAAATGTTGTGATGATTTTAAGCCAGATGATCTTATTCTCGATAGCAAATGATATATGAGAACTAGATGCAAAAATTTTTCGAATGGACCGTCGATCTTTTCTATGCTTATTCTTTTTGATTTCAGACGTAATAATAGGAGAGTATAAGTTTTGTGTAAAATTCTACTATATATATATATATATCTGTTCCACGACCCAAACACGTGCACGTCTTTTATCCTGACTGGTCGATTCTATTTAAATAGAAGAGACCGAAATGTTTTGATATTAATCTGAAAGAAAAAAAAAAAAAAAACAAATTTTTGTTCTGTATTAACAGCTTTGAAACCCAATCTGTCGGCTGACAAACACAGAAGGCACAGCTGCGTTTCCTTTGGGAATTTATCTGATAAGCAAGACGAAGAAAACCTTAACAATGAATTGTGTTACGAGCGCGGGAGAGAGCAAGTATGCACCTTCGGCGGATGTGCTACGTGTAGTGAAAATGTTGTGGAAAATGATATCAATAAAAACATAAATAATAATAATAATAATAACAACAATAACAATAATAATAATAGATATAGACTGGGTCTAACGAATATTACATCCATACCTGTTGTCCTGTGCGGCTTTGTCCATAGCGACATTTTCGGTTCAAATATAGCAATTACTGGTACTAACTCCGCCTGCAAATCCTCGCCGAACAGTCAATCGTACGAATGCAAAGACATAGCCGACATTGAAGGAAGTGCGTAAAGTTTTCCTTTCTCTCTAAACATTTAATATATAAAACAAGTAAATTTGCTACGATATCTACCATACTTTCCACTTTTCGTGTATCGTTTGCCATTCTTCTCGCAAATCAGTACTTAGTTGCTTAGTTTCTTGTTTACAGAGAGTATTAGCGAGTAAATTTACCTTAATTGTTACTTTCGACTTAAGCAAGCAAGTGATTGTTATCATCGCGATTAAAAATCTATTTATTTTTTTTTTTCATATTTAAAATCCTCGACTCTCCTCCTCTTCTCTTGTTTTTTTTTTTTTTTTTAAATACTAATACTTTTCGCACATTATACATGCAGTCTTATTTCTTGTCTATTTTTTCTTTTCCTTTTTTCTTTTGTTTGTTGGTTGGTTTCTTTGTGTCATTCTATACAAACACACACGCATATACAAATACCCAAAAGCGCACATACACTCTGACAGCCAGTGAAGTTTTGAGTAATGAAAGGATAATAATTATCCAAAAAGAATTGATCTTGAGCTCTCTTCTACTGCCAGAACAAATTTTAATCTATCGCATGCACATTTCACTCGAAATCTAAAGAGGTTCTTCTCTTCTTTTTTTTTTTATCACTTAATGGCACTGTAGTCATGTATGATACCCATCCCGTAAACACACGCTTGTATAGCATTACATCGGAATAGTGTGTATGCATAAGTGTATGTAGTAAATAATAGAAAATATAGTGTGTAAGCATTTCTTTAAATATATTTACACACATTCATTCACATCTCGATAATTAAATTATTAATGTCTATTCCGTTCAAAAAAGTAGATGAAGATGAAGAGCCACGTTGCACCCAATTAACCAATCAGCATAAAACTGCCATACGATTTGTTAGAAAGGTAAGTTCCTAGATGGACCTCGAGCAACACGATTCTATGCTACGACTTCACTGTCAATTTTTCACTTAAACTTACTCAAAAAACCATTTCACTATAAATTTGAGAAATTGAATCGAAACATCTATAACTCATTTGCAACAACATTTAAATTGAATGCGATTCGAATGCTTGCGGATGGTAAAACGATGTACCATAACGAATCCGGAAGCTAAAATGTCATTTTTAGCCTTTCCTTATAACCATACTAATCAACTGAAAAATGCCTAAAAAATCTATAAATTTTTGCGTTTATTTGATGTTATTACGCCTTATACCATTTATGTCACAAGGGCATATACTGTTTGCGTGGATATTTACAACATATAGAAGGGCTTGAGGTAAATCCAGCAGTTATTATACCGATCGGTTCAGAAAATTATTCTTGTTAAATTTTTCTGCCCGCCCGTTCGTGTTGTTTTCTTGTGTTCAACATAAGGGCGGGCGCCGTTGAATATAATTTGAACCGGATCACATTTTCGAGCACTTCCCATGTAACACCTCATTTTGAAAAGTGGTCATATGAATACAGACAGAATATTGTTGGGTACTCAATAGTGGGCCGTGGCCTACTGTAAAGTTTTTATTTGTTCTTATACCTGTCACCATGACATTTTCTCAAAATGCTTTCAACATCCAGAAGGAACCTTCAGAGACCCCATACATTAAATATATTCTTGATCAGCATCAAATTTTAAGATAAGCACATCCGTTTGTCTGTCCGTCTGCCTGTGCAATGATTGGTAAACATTGTCTTGGTCGCAAAGCTGAAGCTATCAGCATATATATGTACAAAAGTTTAAACGCACATTTTATGGGCGATGTTGCAGTACCTGTATAAAAATGAAATGAATTGACCACGCCCACCCAATATTTTAGTGTATCAAAATTAAATTTTTTTTTCAATACGTTTATTGTGCACAGAAACAAACTTCAAAAATCCCATAAAGTATATAAATTCTTGGGCAACTTCAAATTTGTACTGCACCTAAGCATTGGTTCGTACGTCCATCTGTTTGTCTGCCCAACTGCGTAGTATCAGTGGTAAACGTTCGTTCTCTAGCAAAAATGAAAATATCGCCTACAAATTAGCAAAATAATTTGATAGTAGCCTAAACTTTTTAAAGGGCATGCCTACAATGTCGAAACTTCTGTACTACGAAAAATTTTATCTTGAAAATAAAACAAATCAATGTCGCCCTCAAAATATATATAGCATTGTAGAGCATGAAAATAAAGGTCTTTTATTTTTTTTGCCTCTTTACGATGACAGTGATGGGTATAAAAGATTCGGTCACGACCGAATATAATTTTTTTACTTTTTTTCTTTATATTTATATATTATTTACACGATGTCCTCTAGGCACCAAAAAGCACGCAAAAGCAAAGGTTAGTAAGCCGTGTAGGTAAACTAAGAAGGAAAGGGAGAGTTATTTAAAAATGCGGAAAATACTACTGCAGGTAGATTGTTCAAAAGATGAGCAATGCGATTAGAGAACGAGAAGGCTCGCTAATATGTTGCGCGATATAGAGTTAGACACAAGAAAAAACTGTCGTGGTCAATTTCTTCTATATTGTGGGTGTGAATGTGTGTTGATGACATCCATTTATTAACCTTGATTTCTTAATCAACCACTTTTTTTTTGCGGCTGCAGCGATTTCCAAAAGAATTTGGTACACTTTAGTATAATGCCATCCGCATCTCGAACACTAGACCAAAGACAGAAAAAAATCAAGAGGTATGTTTACAGATCTATTCATATAAGTAAGAATTACAACAAAATTGTGGAATTTTTCATGTTTTGACAGTCACTTGTTTTAAGCTCAAAAGTTGAAAAAATTCATATTGGCCCACCCTATAGTTTTAATGTCAATAAACTCACTGACATGCCAAGACTTCGTTCAGTTTTCTTTCGTTTACCTGGCTCTTAGATCTGTGTATAATTCTGTTTTTAGTAAAAATTTCTCAATACGATGCGCTCGCTACTCAAACAAAATGTAAGCGTTGGATTTGTTACAAATAATCGCCTACATTGCTGACAGCGCTGCTTACTGACACAAAAATCGTCGATTCAACGTAGGTAGTATAGGGATGAGAAACTAAATACACTCATCACTTTTCCGTCGAACAATGCGAAATTATTTATGGGAAACTGTGGAGATTTTAAGAAAAAATATTGAAAAATTCAAACAAAAGGGATATCATATAAAAGATTGTCTCAAACTAAAATAATTCATTAGGTGATAACATTTTTATTGTCTTAGAGAGTTGGAGGAAAAAGTCAGGAAATTATTCGTAACGTCATGAAACAATTGTTGGAAAATACTAACAATATTGTAGCCAATTTCATTTTTCGGAGCTATTTAATGCTATGTCTTTCATTGATGGTCAAAATAGATGTGAAGAAAATAGAATATTGCGTTGAGATCAAGTGCCGTCCACAACCACAATATTAAGTTCTAAAGAAAGGGATATCTCACAATGTCAGATTTAAATTCTAAAATGCTAAAGTGGGCATGAGTAACATGTGCGCCCTGACTGCTGAATATAGTAGAGTGGTGGCTGTAATAACCCATTAGTTCGGTAACTACAATAAAGCAATAAAGTACAGATAGACCACGAACACTCCTCAGAGTGAATTTATTGGTCTTACGTTTTAAAACGATCTGGTGCTCCAGAAGCGGCCCGCGCGCCTAACTAATACAACGATTATCCGACTTACTGTGAGGCGTTGCTTTACTCTAAAATACCCCGTTGTCCTAGCGAATACTGTTAGGTTGTGCCGCAAGGCATGTGCTAAAGCTATATCACTCTCGCATCGACTTTGTTCTTAAATCCTAAATCTCCATTCAGCTCCTATGTTTTAGCAGAGAAATAAGCGACATACTTTCATTACTGAGGATAGTAAATTTTTCGGTAATATTTGTTAATATGTTGTTAATTATGCGCTGAATTCACTGCATAAAACAGTCTCTGTTTTGAGTAAGTTTCTAGTGAAACAAACCACGTATGTACGTGGATTTAAATATACATAAATAAAATTGCATTAAATATAGATATATTAAAAAACAAATTTAGCTGAAATATTTTGTGGCTAGACGGAAGTTCAAGGAAGCCCTAAAGCCTTACGACGTCAAAGATGTCATGGAACAATACGCCGCGGGACATGTAGATCTATTGGGACGTGTAAAAAATGTACATGCCAGGTAAATTATTATTATATTATTGCATATAAGATGAAGTAAAAACAAGTAAAAATACTATAGCGAGTTACGGCCCATCATTAAATACCCTGCACCACTCTACAGTTATTTATGTAACGATTTTTAAAAAATTAAGGCGTTATAAGCGAAGTGGTCCGACCCGATCCCTTTTCAATCGTGTTCTTGGGCCAAAACGGCCGTTTAATCAATTTCGTGAAAGTAATGAAGTGATGAAAGGAAGCATCTGGGTCATTAAGGTTCGAAGTAAACTTCATGTGTTTGTAATGCCGATGATTGTTGAGATTGTTTTAGTTTCATTTGCATTAAGGGCGCGCCTGTAAATAGATCCTATCCATTTTTTAACCTCGTATTTTTCGTCGACCAAGGAATGTTTTTGCCAAATTTCGGCTTCCTGTTGCATTTTTGCGATTGTAACGAATCGCAAAATTTACCTGTCAAACAGACGAGTTTCCGTAAGTCTACTGTTAATACACTCCCGTTCCACGAGTTGTGTAGGGCGTAATTAAGATCTGCTTTTGGAATGAACGTGAAATAATTGAATAATTGAACTTAATGCTGTCAGTTTCTATAAATGAAGAGCAATGAAATTTTACTTACCGTGCATACAATGATATTTATTGAAATAGGATGCTAGAATCGCTTCAATCGCCTATCTGTGAAAATCACTATTACAACCATAAAATATTATTTACAGTAACAAAGTAGATATTAAATAGTTCTTATTACATTCGATCGTCAGACTTATATCGGCAAACTTGGAAAGAATTTATACACATTTGTCTATGAAGGTTATCCAAGTAATAAACTTTTTAGTAAACAATAGCATCTTTTCTTTAAGAATATGTCAAGTTGGTGCAGTGTGAGTGATAAGTGTCCACCAATTTATACATTGGCATCTGTCTACATGTTTGTTATCTCGAGACGGTTTTCAAAATTAACACTTTTCAAAAGGACAGAAATATCAAAAGTCGAATTTAGACTTCATGGGCAATAATTTTTACTTAATTTTGCTATTGTGCAAAAACAAAAATTTTAATTCTTGTTTACCCATCATCGAATGTTTGCAACGCCCAGCAGGAAGCTTCAAAGACCCCACAAAATATATATATTCTTGATCAACGTAAAATTCTGAATCGGTCATTCACTCGTTACTCATAAACGGCGAAAGCAACATGATATAAATTTCCACTTTTATTCTGAAAATAGAAAAAACCAGCCATGCCCACCCAATATTATATAGGTTATGAAAACTTAGTTCTGTGGCTTTTTTTAGTCGCCGACCACTTGAATAGTTTGTGTAAAACTGGCTGTGGCGGCGTGAAACATTTTGAAGCATAAAATTATATTCTGCAACCTTGGAATCTTTTATACATAGCACCGTTACCCTAAAAAAGGAAAAATATGAATTTCCATACTCAATAGTATTTTTGTAGAACAAAAGTGGAAATTTATATCGCGTATCTGTTGCAGTCTATGAACAAAAAACTATCTTCTACATATATCTACCCTTCAAATCCCTTCATTTAAAAACATTAACCACCATGTGGTGACGTCCGCGATATTTAATTTAGCTTATCGCATTCTATTCTCGAAGTCCTGTCATTTGATACCCTATCGATTATATTGCAAAAAAAAGAGCCCTCTACCTAGGTATATTTATCTTAGAATCATATATAATATCATCATATGAGGAATGTGCGCAATAATGTTCAGCATTCTCTCTTGTTTACCTTATGATTAATAAGCAGAAAACTCCCAAAAATTGAAAAATGAATTGTACAAGATTAGTGGAATTTCCCATAAAGTCAATACAGAAAATTGGAGCCTTCTTTTTTTATAATGTGTGAGTACTGAGCAAAGACCCATAAATTTTTGCATTGAGAAACGGAGTTGCGCTTCAGTTTGTGGGTGTGCTTTGACCAACTTCTCCCATTTTCAAACTGCGTCCAAAATCCTCGAATGCTTGTGCCAAATTAGAATCCAGTAGCTTCATTTCTTACGACCAGAAGGATGTTTTCTATTGCATTCATTTTTTTTTTTGAAATACTTTTTTAAATTTGTTAACCCAAGAAGAAAAATTTCGACACAGCCCTCGCATATTTCTTTTAAGGGGTCTGATTCCTCGGATGATCTTGAAATCTCAAATCTGTTCGCTGAGTACTTCCGTCGAAGCTTTTCGACTGCTAATTTCGATTTATCCGCAAACGATCCATAACCTATAACTAACTTGGTTTCAACTCCTAATTTGGTTATTGCTGAAGATGATGTTTTTAAAGGCTTGAGCTCTCTAAAATATAGTTGTGCGCCTGGACCTGATGGAATTCCACCCTGTGTACTTAAACCTTGCGCTGTCGGGCGATATGGTGTTATCTCTAAGATTTTTAACCGGTCTTTGAATTTAGGTGTTTTGCCTTTGTGTTGGAAGAGTAGTTTCCTTGTTCCCATTCACAAAAGTGGAAGTAGACAACTTGTTGAGAACTACAGGGGCATAGCCAAGTTGAGTGTCTTGCCTAAGCTGTTTGACCGAATTGTCACCCAGCATTTGGCATTTGCCATTAATTCCTATATTTCTCCACACCAGCACGGCTTTCGGAAAGGGCGTTGTGCGGTCACCAATTTGCTGGAGTTTACTTGTTACGTTTTCAAGACTTTTTCTAGTGGCTCTCGCACAGATGTGATATACACTGATTTAAGCAAAGCGTTTGATATGGTTAACCATAACTTACTTATCTTTAAACTCCAAGCCTCTGGCTATCCATTCTATTTAGTGAAATGGATAAGCTCCTATTTGCGCAATAGACCCTTCAGGGTATTGTTCAACTTCATCACCTCGGATGAATTCCCCGTTATGTCTGGCGTACCTCAAGGAAGTCACTTAGGTCACATTTTATTTAGTTTGTACATTAATGATCTCCCAACGGTGATTAATTCCAGTCAGATCTTAATGTACGCTGATGATGTGAAACTGTTTTCTTCCTTCTCTCTACAATCACAATCACATCACCTTCAAAGTAACTTCAATAATTTGGTTGCATGGTGCTCTTTGAACCTTCTGAAACTAAATCTAAATAAATGTAGGAAGCTATCTTTCTCAAGAAGGAAGTCATTCGTTACTCAGTATTTCATTTATTCGCGTTGGTTGGAGGACGTCGATACATTCACAGATTTAGGCGTTCTATTTAACCATAGATTACGTTTTAACTTGCACATTGAGTTCTCGTTAAGCAAAGCTAGGTCCGCGCTTGGCTTTATAAAGAGGTGGTCCAAAGAACTTGATGATCTTTACATTACAAAAAAGCTGTACATGTGTTTGGTTAGACCTATACTTGAGTATGCCTCTGTTGAGTGGTCTCCTGCATATAGGTGCTATGTAGATTCAATTGAATCTGTTCAAAAGCAATTCTTGCTGTTCGCCCTGAGGAATTTGGGTTGGGATCCGATTGTCTCTCTTCCCCCTACGAAAATAGGTTGCTTCTGTTACCCTTATCGTCTCTCAAAAAACGTAGATTTGTTCTTGGCATTTCCTTCGTTATCACAATAATAAACGGTGCTATTGACTCAACTGCATTACTTGGTGAAATAAGCTTTGATGTGCCCAACCGCTTCTCTAGGAACTTTACCTTGGTTAATCTTAGTCAATGTAAATATAATTATGAGCTGTTTAACCTGCTCAGAGTTGTTTGCAAGAACCTAAATGATTTCTATCACTTATTCTCATTATCGGACTCTTTAAAGTCCATTAATGCAACATTGCTTAATGCGCGTAATTTATCTATGTCGTACTTAAACTAGCTCTTAACCTTAAAACGTCACGATGAGTCGAAAATGAATTGTTGTTAACTATTATCGGTTGCCAAGCTTATGCATATTTGCGATAGCTTAGAGGTTCAATCGCAATTTGGTCCTGTACCGGTTCTGGGTGTGGCTCTATGCTAGTTGTGTACATGCTTTTTTTCTTTTTTTTCCTTCTTATTTGTTTTATTGGACCTACACTAAGTTTCAATATTAATTAATTTAAGATTTACTTTAAGAGTCAATTGAACTCGACTGTCAAAATTTTTAGTTGAGTTTCTTGTATAAGAGGAATTAATAAATAAATAAATAAATTTTTTACATCGCAACATAAAAGGATTTATAGAAATTGCTTATGTTTCATGAACGAAATATCTTAAATTTTCAAAAAAATAAGATAATAATAAGATAACAAGCAACCAAATTATATTTAGTCATGACCGAATCTTTTGTGCCCATCATCGTGATCCTAAAAAACACGAAAAAGGTAAAAAAAACTAAATTTTAATGCTCTATAACATGTTGTGAACCTGTTATCACACAGGCGCGCAGGCGTATAGGCTTGCCTTTCGAAAAGCTGAGGTTACTTCCAAATTTTTTAGCAAATTTGCAGACGGTAGAGATGCTTACGTGCATTGCAAATTTGTGACTGGCCAAGAGTTTATATACTTTAAGAAGTTTTTGAAGGTAATTTCTGCGCGTTCTAAAGGAGTTGAAAAAAAATTAAATTTTGTTATACTATAATATTAGGTAGGCGCCGACAATTTTTTCCTACAGGATCTCACATAAAAATGAATGCAAATTCTTTTATTTATCTGCTAATGAATAAATAACCAATTTTTTATTGCTGCTGCAGGCGTGTCCTTCGGCCGATTTAGCCCATCTTCAAATTGGGAACGCGATAGCCTCGTTTTCGCGGCTTACAACGGACACCACACAGACGGAAACTTTCTTCTGGGCTATGCAGACGTTTTGACATAATGATTGTACAGAAGGACTTGTTGTAGACCCACTTTTTATTGTATTTATTATATTGATGAATTCAGATCCATATTCTGAACCATTTTCTGAATCGATCCAACCATGTCTATCTTAACCATGTCTGTCTTAAGATCTTACAAGGTCGACTTGAGCCATTGTTTCTAAACTATGATTTCTATCAATGCTTATTATATAATTAAATAGTCATCTTAAAAAAAACATATTTTCCTAAGCACGTTTTCTCTCTAATTTATCTCAGCATTTACTCTTTGAGACGTATGTGTTAATCAATTAACTGCGGTAGTCTGTCTAACTTGTTCTGTGAATGCCAATGAAAGTTCTAAGAATAGAAAAAAGTCTTGCATTCTAATCTATAATCTTGATTGTGTCGTTAGGTAGTTGGATGATCGACGAACACAGACGCAGACAAAAGCTAAACGGGATAAGTTGGAAAATATACATGTTTTACGATATGTGCAATGCTGTAAGCTACAATTTTTGAGATTCTGAACGAAATTCGGTGCACTGACTTGTTTTGGCGTAACGATAAACGCTATTCAGAATGACTGGGATAGTACGAATTTTTCGCAATTTCTCATACAACACATTACTTGAAAAAGTCGACAAATGGATAACTCTAGGGGCACTGTACGGTGTTTAATAATAGGGCATACCCCACTTTAGCATTCCTACTTGTCATTTATAAAACTTTAAGAGGATAATGAAAAAACTAATTTCAGACTAGACCAGATTTTGGGAAAACAAGGCTCGAAATCAAAAGACGCTTATGCTTCTAAAATAAGTTTAGCTTCGAGAGTCGTCAAAGTCGAGAGACAGGTAAGAATTTCATAATATTTTGATTTTCTAGAGCCAAAACTAACTACTGTGTACTGAAAGGTGGCCGATATAGAAGAAAAATTGGACCTACTTATTAAAACGTACATGGATGATCGCCAACGGTTTCAAGTTCTTCCCTTTAATTCTCAGGTTTCAAAACATTCCCTCAGCCATCAGCCGCCTATACAAGGCCAGTATGAACCTATAAACAATTGGCAAAACTGTAATACAAAATTAGGCGGTAAATCTAAAGCGACAATCGACACGTCGAAATCTTCGACTTCGTATAGCTCAAAGGAAGTCGATGAATTTACAAAGGTTAGTATATGTTTACAAATAATAACGAAGGATCCGTATTCTTCAAAATTTACAATTTTAAAGCCACTAATACGGTAAATTGCTTCAGAATTTTGCTTGATTTAGAACCATATACAATCACCATAATTAAACACTTCTATGTATGCGTACACACAGTACTTGTACTGCATGTGCAAAATTATGAACTTAATAGCACCTTCATATATCGGTGATAGGCAGCGGATTAATGTAAATTTCTTACAGTCTTCCGAAATTAATGCATATCCTCCTATAGCCGATGTAGGCCCGGTTCAAGTTCGTCATCAGCACAGTGTCGACGAAACGGAAGGTAAAGCGAAAAAAAGAGTTACTCTAAGGTAAGATGATGATAGAAATTTTAAATGCATAATTACAACTATATTTCATGCACGCAGATCCATGTCGCAGCCTTACGAAAGAGAAAGCAAATTAGATGAAGTCGCTATATCAATACCCAGCATAGACACGCAGTCTGTGGCTTCCAGCCCTAAAGAACAAATACCTGAAAATTCAAGTATATATTTCTTAATCAATTTCAAAATGTGTATATACACACAACGCAACATATTGTTTATAATATTGTACATTCACAGTTATATTAATAGATGAATACGAAGATTTAGAAGAAGAGGATCTAATTTGCGAAGAAGAACTCGACCAATATCCGTCGTGGGAGATGGATAGCGATACTGTGATCGAAGCTGATGTGGATATCGAAGGCGATTGTGATGAGACAACGGAAGATACCGCCTTACTGCAGCAGGCCTCACGCACTTCAATTGTTATAACAACACCTATCAGTCCTGTAAGTATTCATCATCATAAGATCAAATTTTATTGATTAAACTAATATTTGCTTTTGTTTGCAGGTAAACTCCGCACACAGTCTCCAACATATGGATGACCAAAAACCTCCTACAATCAATAAATCAAATTTATTATCGCCAGATTCTGGATAACGATTTTATACAAGCATGTCCATATAGCTATATGTTATATGTTTTTAAAATCGCTTATATTTTCTACTTCTGTGTTCATTTAAATAACATATAAGGCGAACCACAACAAAATAAAAACTAATGAAATAAAAGGATCAATTTAAAGTACAACAAATACACTTTTGCAAATTGAACTCATTCCCTACATGAATTTATATCGACGACATTGGTACCTTAATATTTTTAATGTTTAACCCAAGAATTTTCATATTAAAGTTGTCCACAGTAAAAATTGATGCCGCAATCTGCCTGAAATTTTTTGCTTCATAAAATGTTATAAATAATTTTTCTGTTTTATTTGCAGACGATAAAGACGCATAAAGAAGGTATAGACTTCTCATTGTGCTCAGGTTATCTTCACAATCATATTATTAATGGATTTAAGTCCGTCGTGCGTAAAAAAATGCACTCATGAGGAGAATTAATATCACTAAAATTAAAAAAAAAAACTTGAGTAAATACTGCAGACATCTATATTTGAAACCAAAACCTTTGTCTGGATGGTATTCCTGCCCTTAGAAAAATTTGCCCACCGGCAAAGGACGCGGGCGTAGAAATTTATTCTCCCGTTTCCGACGGCGAAAAAAGTACACACCAAATACCCCATACATATCCGGAATTTCGCTATTTTTTCAAAGTGTTTACAACTGTTTAAAACTGTTTAGGACTGTTTTTATATACTTTCGATCCGGAATTTCGCTATTTTTTCAAAGTGTTTACAACTGTTTAAAACTGTTTAAGACTGTTTAATGACATTTTATATAGATGAGTAAATTGGTAAGTTGGTAGGTGTAACAAAATTATGCCCAAATTAGTTTTATTAAGTTTGGATGCTTGTTTAAGAGAGAGAAGGCTCATCAAGAAGCAAAATTATAAAGATTTTCCTCAGCAGAAAATTTCCACATCATTCCTTGCCTTGGCTTGCCCAACTTTTTGGCCAATTACGTGTTGAACCGCAAGCTTTGCTATAATTTGTTCAATGTACAATATCGTTCACAATTTTAGATTCGAATTCAGCAACATTTTTTGTTTTCACTGATTATTCTTTGATTGATACGATTATCCTCCATATATAGAATGAATTAAAAAGAATATCGCCAATAAATTCAAATGAGCAACAAAACAAGGAAGTTTTTCTTCGTTTAACTATTTGTTGCTTCAGCATTACTTTCATGCATTTCCACAAATATTTTGTGCGCACTTGCAGATGCATGCATAAACTCAGAAAGGGATAACCAACGTAACAGAGCTGATAAACAAATTGATAGAAACATAAAAGAAGTTACTCCAAAGAAGTTATAGATGGGCTTAACAGGCCAAGCAGAGGTTTCGAGCGTCTTGAATGTATACCTCCTAAAAAGTAGTCTTAAGAAGATTCCCCTTAGAAAGGTCATGGACCAAGAAATTCAATCAGAGATGGTTTCCATACAGAGCTTAATTCTTCTGACTATACTTTCCTTATATTTTATTAGCAATTCGTTTGTCAGCCCACAGACTGCGCACATTCAAGGCCTAGCAAATGTTACTAAATCGGGTAAATGCTTGATTTTCATAGTCCACATATCTCATAATCGCAACGTTTCGTTTCATAAAGCTACCAATCTTCTCTGCTGATTAAACTCACTTCTGTCATTTCGCATAAAATTGTACTGGACACGTCTAAAGAAGGATTAGTATGCTGCGAGAACCAGGGGACCACAATGTGAACGGCCTGATATTAAGCGACCATTTTCTTTATTTCTTTGCATAAGCATATCAAGGCAAAACATTTCGCTGGTTTACTGAACCGAGTGAACCAAAGTTATACAACAACGAGGTTAATATTAAAATTAAACAGTAAACCACATCCATCGTTAAAGTTGAATTCACTAACACTAGTGAACACGAGATTGATATGCAAACGACAAAAATCGAAGACGTACCGAAAGTAGTAGAGAAAAGTAGCGCAAAGCCAAGAAATTGAAAATTTCAAGATTAAAATAGAAAATATTTCAATTAATTCAATTTCAATTCCGGCAATGGCTAACTTAATCGCCTGTTACAAAATTTTTTAAAGCGATTGAGGAGAAAAAGTGCGTTTTTTTGTTGTCTATGAACAATTGCGCTCTAGTTGATTATATGTGTATATTTGATTAAGTAATTAATATCACTTTTAATGATTATATTCAACTACCTCAATTTCTCTACTACTTGTGCGTATAAAATTTATATTCAAAACATGGTAGACGTTTGTAGGAATTCAGAATTCCTAAAATCACTTATAAGAAGCTTTCTTTCAATGAGTGTTGCCAGAATTAAATATGTTATTGCTGCAATAAAAAAAATTGTGATTGAAATCGTAAACCTTCTTCTTTAAAGTTTGTGAATTTTGTTTTCGTAATTTGCAAAGAATTTTTTAAGAAAATCGTTCATTAATTTCAAAGGAAGTGGTTAATGATTTCGGGAAAATAAAAGAAAAAAGCGCAGATGCGATTTTCTCATATCTAAAAGGCAGGTTAATTAATGATGTTGACACACAAAAGTTGTCAAGGAGGACGCAAAAAAATACAGGTTAATGTGGTTTTTGTACCTTTTATATGTTTATGATTGGTTGTGGCGCTTTAGGTCTCCTTCGTAATACGAGATGCTGAAGAAAAACAACATCGCAATGGAGTTAACGCTTTACAGTTAGATCCTAGCAATGGCAAACTTTATTCGGCGGGACGAGACGGCATTATTAGAGTATGGAATACAAGAAGTGATTTCAACGATAAATATATACAATCAATGGAGCATCACAATGACTGGGTGAATGACATTGTTTTATGCTGCAATGGCAGAAATTGTACGATATTAGTTTATGGAATTTTGTTCGCTATAAAGTTACTATATGTTTTTTTCAATTCAGTGATAAGTGCTAGCTGTGATACAACTGTCAAAGTGTGGAATGCCCACAAGGGATTTTGTATGTCCACGTTACGTACACATCGTGATTACGTTCAAGCTTTAGCCTACGCTAAAGATAGAGAACAGGTCGCTAGTGCCGGTTTGGACAAAGCTATTTTTTTATGGGATGTAAATACATTGACTGCTCTAACTGCTAGCAACAATACGGTTACAAGTAAGGTAAAAACACTGATAGCAACGTTTCTATTCATTTTGTTCTTTTGCAGCTTCTAGCTTGAATGGCTCAAAAGATTCAATTTATAGTTTAGCTATGAATCCAGCAGGTACCGTCATCGTAAGCGGCTCCACGGAAAATATACTCAGAGTGTGGGATCCTCGAACAAGTGTACGCAATATGAAGCTAAGGGGTCACACGGAGAATGTCCGAGCTTTAGTGGTGTCACCAGATGGCAATCAAGTGGTTTCCGGTAGCTCGGACGGCACCATTAAAATATGGAATCTTGGGCAGCAACGCTGCGTTCAAACTATTCACGTCCACAAAGAAGGAGTGTGGACTTTGTTGATGAGTGATAACTTTCAATACATTATTTCGGGTAGTCGAGATCGTAATATTATTATTACGGAACTTAGAAATCCTACAAATTCAATAATAGTATGCGAAGAGAAAGCGCCAGTTTTAAGTTTGTGTTACAATATGGATAGAACGGGGGTATGGGCGACAACGTGGAACTCAGATATACGATGCTGGAAATTGCCTGTTTACGAGAAGAGTACTTTAAATACAAATAACAGTGTTGATACTATCTGGACGAATTCTGATATCGAGCTAGCATGTATAAAAGGTGGGATTGATAATCTTTATTACGTCTATGCATAAATCTGTAGTCAGAAATTAACCAAATTTCAAATGTGAAATTTGTGGATGGATTAAAATTTACATTCGACTAACATCTAAAACCTGTCAATAATGGGACATATTTTGGAGATGGAATGATTTACAAATCGTTTTCGACACACGCTTTTGCTCGCCGCATCTTCTTTTCTGGAAAATTAAGCAAGATATTAAATATGTCGCGCATCCCGTTGATAGAAATTTTTGGCTTGCAATTAAGATCCAAAGAATGGCCAGCGTGTCGATTTCGATATAGATTCATGCATAGACGCGATTTAAGTTTAAATATAAATAATAAGCGACGTTGGGTTCTTCCAGGAGGAGCAGCGATCAAGCGCTATGCTGCTCTGAATGACAAGCGTCACATAATTACAAAAGATACTGACGACAGTGTTGCTATTTACGACGTTCTAAGAGTAGTTAAAAAAGAGAGTCTTGGAAAAATTGATTTCGAAGAGGAGATAAAAAAACGTAACAAGCAGGTCTACATTCCGAATTGGTTTACAGTCGATTTAAAAACAGGTGTATGTAAAATCTAAAAAGACTTTTTGCCGAAGTGAGATTAATTGTGTTTTTTTGTATAGATGCCTACAATAGTTCTAGGACAGGATGAAGTTGACTGTTTTTCAGCATGGGTATCTATAGAAGCTGGTCTTCCAGAGTGCGCAGATCCAACGGCAGAAATTAAGGTATTTACACGGAATACTTGAAGCCACCGAAATAGTATAAAAATTTTCGTAGATTAATTATGGTAAGCTGCTATTGGAAGCTTTACTAGAGTATTGGAATCCTCCCCATGGTTTGCCACAGAATGACATCGAACCGGACATTAGAGGAAATGGTTACTTTCAAATACCAAAGCATACACCTGTTATTTTCAGGTGAGTTAACGTGAAAAGCAACACATTTTTTGCTAACGTCTGGCTCATAATTATTTTAGTGAAGTGGGGGGGCGTACAGTATGTCGTCTGTTGGTGCGCGACGCTGCCGGTGAAAGTGAAAGCACTCTGCTGCACGAAACAGTTCCCCAGTGGGTAACTGAAGTCGTCATCGAAAAGACTAATCCAAAGTTTCTCAAAATACCCTTTTTCTTACAACCTCATCCTCAAATGGTGAAACCAGATAGGACGAAAAAGGTAAGCCTATTTTACGGTTCCACATTTTTGAACGCCAATTAACCAACTTGTTATGAAAATAGGATCGTTTGGTAGCTAATGAATTTATACAGTGCCGTAAGGTATGTGAACATGTCTTGGAGAAAGTATTGGGTACTGAAACCACACCTATAGGTGGAAATGCTTCAAGCTCTTCGCAAAACAGCGATGCCAACTCTGAGGGTTCCCAGGTACCAGCTGAAGATAGAATTGAATTATGGTGTAACGATGTGGTATAGATGAATATGTGATTTTATTGAATATTAGTATAAGTAAGGAGTTGTAATGTTTTTCTTAGATGGTGGATCCCAACATGGATCTACGAACGGTTAGACACTTTATTTGGAAGCAGTCCACTGATCTCACATTCCAGTACAAAGCAAAGCCAAATTTTTCGTACGATGGAAAGCTCTGAAGCTCAGTCCAAACGTTTTGCCGCGAACAAATATTCCCTTTCAGCTGTTTATGATGTATTTAATCGTTCCCAGAATGCTGAAGTACGATGTTCAAAACACAATGCACGAAGGAAAATCGGATTTTCGAAGGGCGTGTTTTTACAGTTTATGAATCGACTCTCAAGCATAACAAACAGTTAAACATTTTCTTGTACTTTTGCCATTCACGTTATGTTAAAAACTAGCATCCAACATGGAACGTCATTTATTGTCAATAGCGGAAATTAAATTGTGAAAGCTTAAACACAATTAAAATCAAATATATAGTAAATAGTATTAGATATTTTGTAAAAATAATAAAAAAAACTAATACTAACTAACAATCTCCTCCTGTTCAATCTCGTTAATCATTTTGGGTAATGTATCATCTCATAGATGCATACTTTTGATGCTTTTCTATCATTACCAAAATATGTTTTAGATCACACTTCACGGTTTGAGGTATTATCAGTTTGTCCAAAATCTCTGTGTGATTTTCAAATATCTGCTCAGCGTAGGTCCAAAGACATTTGGATCTTAATGAACGTATCGGCAAATGTATTGCAACCAGTTTGCGAAAGGAGATCCATAGTGCATTGTTAGCGGCATCGCGTATACGAGAATTTTGTGGCCAGAACACATCTTTATTTTTTACATGCATGCGCTCACCGGTTACTTTATCGCGAAATATCCATGGATGTTTGACATAAGTATTGATTTTAATGCCTGCTCCCGGTTTAAGAGCTTGAAAGAGTTCTTGACGACCGTTAAAATCCATCCAATATAAATTAACAGAACGCGTTGTGCTGTTTACGAAAAAGACAAACGATTTCTCAACGGAATATTGTGCAGCTAATACTAAAGCTTGCGGTTCAGGGGGGCTTACAGCTTCAAGAGCCATGTTATCTTATTGATGAATGATGCTTTCATGAAACGCGACAAAAATATAGTGGGTCCCAAAAAAAGTTGAAAAATTTAAACAACTTTGAAGATAATCAAGACGGTTTATGAATTAAATGACGTGAGCATTTAAATGGAAAACCTACCGTATTTGTCAAATTGGTGGGTGGCATTGAAACTTTACAATTGAGGCCATGTGAACATCAAGTTTTTTGTTTGAACCTCAATAAAGTTATTAATAAAGTTATTTAATTAAATAATTTTTTTCTAGTTGAGTTGGTTGTCTTTTCCCCGACGGCATAAAACATATAAACATATGTATAGAAACTGTAGCTCATAATCCATTGTTACTTTCGATGCCGTCACAAAATATCATCAGATGATGAATATCATCAAATTTATTAGATATTTTAAAATATTTTATTAAGTATTTGCAGATGTGGCGTATATTTGTTTTATTTATTTACTTATATAAAAAACCATATGACTTGGCAACGTTGGCGAAAAAGGTGGGGTAATCATACAGAGGCAATAATCCCCAATAAAATCTGATCATATGAGAGCTGAGAACAAATTTGCACTAGAGTTGAGCATAAAGTAAGCAAAAGTCTCTTTTTTGGAACCGCATTTGTAGAAAAAAAATATAAACAGGTGTTAGTTAATGAATTATTAATTCAAAATATAAAAAAAAAAGAGTTGAGTTCGCAATTACCTTTGTGGATTGTGAGAAAAATGAAAATAAAATTTGATAAAAGTAAGTACAACTTTTTTTAAATATCGAGCTAAATTAAGCTATGTTCACCAATATGCGCATTTCAACTACGACGTATCATAACTTCCTTTTATGCTCGTTCATTGAAGAAGAGAATAATGGCAGCCGCGAGGCAGAAAAAAGTATCACCATAAGACGGCCGTGGAAGGCTTTGTTGTGCATCCGACTCCCTAGCGCTATCTCAAAAGAAGTTTCTACTATTTACAAACGGCGGCTTATGCAGAAGTTCTGCGTTTCTAAAGCAGCTTTTCATTATATTCTATGAAAACTTGGGGTGTATACCTGGCGGTATGAGCAGCACATATATACACTTAGCCGTCATTTTAGGGTTGTTGGCTTCAGAAGGTTAACATCAAGGTTATCACTGACTCGCCTTCAGGGACTATAGTGTATATGGTGCACAAAGCACGTTATCAACCTTTGGAAAACCATTGGACTGGAAATACATTGTAGAAAACTGCATAAGTCTTTTTTATTCATTTCATTTTGCATTTTCGTTATTGTTCACCATATATAATTTGTTTATACATCTCTCAGTTATTAACGCATAGTATTGGAAAATTTAAGGGGAAGTATTGAAAAGATGGCGACATTGGTACATAATTAGCCTCTTGGCGATAATCAATTGTCTCCCCAAAAAAAAAACAAGGCGACAATCACGGCAACAGTTCCCTGCTCACATGGAATAGCCCTCTGGTAAGCGCTGCAAGTTCGATTGTAGTAGTTTACATCAACGTATTGAGCGAAAATTGTATTGCATCAGTTATATCATTATAGTCATGTAATATAAAAAAATTAACTATAACAAATGGAACCATAGAATAAGAACTTTGCGTTTACATTGCGTTTTGTTTACACGTTACAACGAATTTTCCGCTGTTTACTGCTGAATAACAGAAAAAGAAGAAGAAATTGTAAAATAATAAAAAGTGAACTGAAATGGAGAATTGAAGAAGGAATTTTTCAACTGCAATTGTTTGATTTCAAAAGTGTTCCTCTAGCAAATGAAACATGAAATTTTGGAAAACTTGTGATCTAGCTTATTAATACATTTGGAAGCTATTTGTTACAAAACTCATTTTTGGGATGAGATAATTGCAGATGATAGCAAACTTCAGTTCGTATGAGAGTAACTGGCTCGCTCATTTAATTACTCTCATATGAGGCGAAATTTGTTTACAATTACAAATGCAACAATACATTAACCGCCAAATAGGTTTCGAAAGAAGAATATCGCGTTCTTATTGAACCTTACGAATCATGAAAAGTATACTGTACGATCAGAAAAGTATGAATCATCTGACGCTCAGAAAAAGAAAAATGGGGAATTTTGGGTGAGAATTATTTTAAAATGTGAAAATGCTGTAAAAAGCTGACTCATCTCACCAGCTCACAGAGAAATTCGACAACATTTGGAGAATTATTTAAATTGCACCCATCAACCTGTTTTGTCGACGGCAATTTGCATTTTTCATTTTGCAATGCCGACGGCAATTCGCATTTTGCAATGAATTTTAACAGAATACGTGAAACATAAAGCTGGCGGCTTTGCAAATTAAACGATCTGGCAATTTAAGTTGTTAGTTGGGCACTCAACCATTTTTGGCAATTTTTTTATTTATTATAAGCGACTCTGTGCTTTGCCTTTCAACAGGGAATTTAACGAGGACGTTGTTTAATTTGATAAAAAAAAATTTTGCCGGTCTAGGTTAACTTGTAAAATAAAATAAATTAAGAAATTTTATAATCGCGAATTTTATCTATTGCACTTGCATGTATTGGGCCGCATTGAGAATAAGCGTATATTCGTTCTCATTTGTTTTGCATGTATTGTACCGCTTTGAGAATAATCGTATACAATTATCAAGAATTTTGCATGTATTGTGCCGCTTTGAGAATAAATGTATATTCGTTCTCAATCATTCAACAGGTTTTTATAAAAAAGCCTCATCGATGCGAGATTAATGTGTATATTCATTCGTACTCAATAATTTCCGTATACAAATTCCAACTCCACATATTTCTAAATATAACAAATGAATAAACAATAAACAAAAAAATATGGACAATTGAATGTACCACGGGCGTATAGATGTGTTCCATATTTTCGATGATATAGTTTTTTGTTCCAATCGATTTCCGCAAGGAAAGCAACTCTTCAGGTATGCAAATAAACTAATAGAAACATGGAAGTTCAGTATTCTCAGCATTCGAAGATTTCGCTTCTAAACACCTTACATTAACAAGCCCTGCAGCGGCATCAGAGACTTCAACTTCTTCTGCTCCACATTCGATGGCATCTTCTGTAGCTAACTCCTCAATATTTTTTGATGAAACTAAACGCTCCTTACTGACGGTTGCTGCTGTTCATGTGGATAACCTTTTTCAAACATAGAAGTGTGCCTAAAGAATTTTCAAATTCAACTGGTACGAACTTAATTCAGCTGTTAACCTGGAAAAGACTTTGTAGAATCGAAAGGCAGTTTTCGTTACAATTTAATATTTTGTTTACTAGCTTGTATCTAAAGGAATACCAAATTTTGTAGCGTGGATTTTATTTTGGCGAAAATATTGAAAGTGCTTAGAGAAGTGGTTTACCTGAATGCTCGAGTTGCTTCTTTTACTTACTTAGGTGCTGGTAAGCCGAACAACCATTTATTTTCATATTTTGATGAACCTTAAATGATAATAAAATATAATATTATTTTTTATATTAATTATCGAAACAGTAAATATATTAATTATATTAATTTCCTTTCTGCGACAACCTTACGCTGGTCACATCTTTAAGTTGGACACAATCTTTTGTGGGAAGAAAGGATCGATACTTAGATTATATCTAACACATACACATGCAATAAATTTAACCAGAGAATAAATTCTTTTCTTTTAAAGCGCACTTGAGATTTGAAGCCACTCGGGCGGATAACTTGTAAAATTAAATAAATTTAGTTGGCGTATTTTCCACAACACTATACATACATCTACAGGAGATGATAGAAGAGCAAAAGCGACCAAGTCAATTAAAAAGAATTGGAAACAATCAGGAAACCATTAAAAAGAATAACAATTTCTTTTATATATATTTTTATATATATTAGTTTGGGGAAAAAGAAATGCATTATTTTTTCGGTAGACGGCTGCACTGATAGATTTCTCGTAAAGTATCGATCAAATAATTTCCGATACTGTACATTTACATACTGTACATTTCGCAGTAAAAAAAATTCTTTTGTTGTTTTTTGTTTGGTGCATTCAGTTGTGAGTTACAGCGTGTTAAAAAAGAGAAAATTCGGTACATTTTACAGTTTTTCTTTGACAAAGGCGAAAATGCAAGCCAGGCGGCTAAAATTGTGAATGGTGTTTATGGTTCCGATACTGTAACGGCCAATTATGTGCAATTTTGGTTTCGTAGATTCCGTTCAGGAATTTTTGATGTTAAAGATGCACCTCGCACAGGTAGGCCGGTCGTCGAAAATGTCCATAAAATCGGAGAAATGATCGAAGTTGACCGGCATGTTAGCAGTCGTAACATCGCCCAGGAGCTAAAAATCGACCATAAAACAGTTTTAAACCATTTACACAAAGCTGAATTCGAAAAGATGCTCGATGTTTGGGTGCCGCACCAATTAACAGGAAAAAACATAATGGATCGAATTTCCATCTGCGAAGCGTTGGCCAAACGGAATGAGATAGACCCATTTCTTAAACGGATGGTGATTGGAGATGAGAAATGGATCACATACGATAACCCTGTGCGAAAACGATCGTGGTCAAAGAGCGGTGGAGCACCTCAAACGGTGGTCAAACCAGGACTAACGGCCAGGAAGGTTTTGCTATGCATTCGGTGGGACTGGAAGGGGATTATTTATTATGAGTTGCTTCTATATGGCCAAACGCTAAATTCTGATCTCTATTGTCAACAACTGGACCGTTTGAAGATAGCGATTGACCAGAAACGGCCAGAACTGGCCAACAGGAGAGGTGTCGTGTTCCACCAGGACAACGCTAGGCCACACACATCTACAGTGACTCGCCAGAAACTTCGGGAGCTTGATTGGGAAGTTTTAATGCATCCGCCATACAGTCCGGACTTGGCATCAAGCGATTATCATCTTTTTCTTGCATTGCAAAATTTCTTTAATGATAAAAAATTGGAATCTAGGGAGGATTGTGAAAATCGACTACTAGAGTTTTTTGCAAATAGAGACCAGGACTTCTATGAGAGAAGCATTTTGAAGTTACCTTTAAAATGGCAACAAATCATACAACAAAACGGTGCATATTTGACCCAAATCGGACAATCCGAAGCATGTTAAATAAAGTCCTGAAATTCATATAAAAATAATGGATTTCTTTTTCCCCAAACTAATATTAACCAGCTATTTTAAATATATAATAAAGCTATTATATAAATAAAGCTATGTATATTTAAATATAAATTATATAAAATGTAACAAATATCAATTTATTTATTTACTTATTTCATTTAATGATAACATAAATTACAAATTAGAAGTTATTTGATTCGTAAATGTACACACACACGCTCACATTCTTCTTTACGTAAATAAATTTGTGATATTTGCTAAATTTGGAGTTTACAGTAAGTATATTGTAACATAATTAATGATTTTTGAATAACATTAATGTTTTCTCTGCCTTGACAGAA